CTGAAAAAAGAAACACTTCTCCAGTTTCGCATAGAGTTTATGCTCCCAAAGATGCTGAAGCACTTGACGGACCTGATGAAGGTGGTGATCTCTAGATCAAAATGTCACCACCACAAACCTATCCAGCATGTCCCGAAAAATGTCGTTCATCAAATGCTGGAATACCGCGGGAGCATTGGTCAGACCAAATGGCATTACGGTGTACTCGAAATGGCCATAACGAGTGCCAAACGCCGTCTTCCACTCGTCCCCCTTGCGCATCCGAACCAGGTTGTAGGCCCCACACAGATCGAGTTTAGTGAAGATAGTAGCCTCCCGCAACCGCTCCATCAATTCCAGAATGAGCGGCAAAGAATAACTATTCCTCACTGTGATGGCGTTCAACCGGCTGTAATCACAGCATAAACGGAGCTCTCCCGACTTCTTTTTAACAAAAAGAACGGGAGCCGAAAGAGGGGACAACGATGGTCGAATAAATCCCCGAGCCAAGTTTTTATCTAAAAACTCTCGAAGCGCAACCAACTCGGGCTCCGACATGGAGTATAACCAACCCTTGGGCAGTGGAGCATCCGGTATCAGGTCCACGGGACAATCATAAGCACGATGCGGTGGTAATTGATCCGCCTCCTTCTCGCTGAAAACATCGGAGAAGTCCGATAGCTCCGAAGGTATGGAAACAGCAAGAGCGGCGATATCCTGGCCAGCGCAGATATGTCTCAGATGATCCACACATTGGAGACTTGGAAAGGAAATGGCGTTCTGCGCCCAAGCCACCAACGGATCGTGCAAACGCAGCCAGGACATGCCGAGAACCAAAGAGAGATGAAGGTTCGAGGTGATATAGAAACTTATCACCTCCTCGTGATCCCCAATAATCATACGCACTGGCTGGGTGGCAAAACGAATGGGCCCAGATTTGAGCTCACGCCCATCCACTGTTTCCACCTTAATGGGTGGATCCACAGCAACCAATGGGATCTCAAAGTGTGTAGCAAAAGCCCGGTCCATAAAACTGGTTGTAGTCCCTGAGTCCACCAACGCATCCATGTGGGCCGATTCATTCCAGTTAGAGTCCATACAGAGTAAACGAAATTCTGCAATGTTTCCCCTGATAAATGTCCCGTAACCGTCTAGCCACGGTTTGAGTTTTAATTGGATTTTCAAACATAACCCTCATTTGCTGCTGAAAACCCTGAAAATTATCCAATAAAGGGCTATCTTGAATTAACAAGGGAGTAGCCCATTTGGCAGCCTGCCCAGATAAAAGGCTAATAATAAATCCTACTTTAGCCCAGTCATTTGAAAAGTCTTCAGGCCTCAAGGTTATAAATAATTGGCACTGCCCCATAAATGCCAGGAACATGTCCGTTTGTCCTGAAAATTTCTCCGGCATGGATACCGGGTTTTTCCTCAAGGGAGGGGCTGAAGGAGCAGCAGGAATTTGCAAACTTGAAACATGGTTTACCAACTGTGTTACCTGGTTTTGGAGGACCTGGTTACTTTGTAGCAGTTAGTCTATTTGTTGCTGTTGCTGCTCCACCAAACGCTGCAGTTGAGTTTGGTCCATCTTGGTTTGAAGATGGTTTGTTTGGCCAGAAGCAAAAATGTTATGTCTCCCCTTTAATTACAGGTGAGCAAAACGAAATTCAGCAGTTCCAGAAATATCACAAACCAAAAAACAAACCCCCACAAGAGAACTGCTGAGGTATTTCCAATCCTCAGCAGTAAATCCAAACTCTGACCGGCAATCCTGACGTGGCAATAATTCTCAAAGCCTCAGAGTTCTCTTCGTATTTTCACTCCCATTAATCACTTTGCTTCTGGCAAATTTCACCAGCCAAGCCGTTTCCTTTTATCCTCTATGGGGCGTGTTAATCCCCTTAATTAGTCACTGGCTCGACGCCTCCTTCCCAATTGAGATTGACGTCTCAATCTCCGTCTATTTCTCACATCAAGCCAGGATCTCTCAAAGTTCTCTTCTTCACTGGAAAACTCTCGCATGTTTTCCTGGTTAGCTATTCACGGCTGCTGCTCAGCCAGAGGGGAAGAATTAGAGGAGATCGAAGGTCCTGATATCTCTACTAAATCAGGTTCGTCTCTCCTAGTTAAATCCATTTCCTCATCCTGGCTACCATCCAAGTCACTCAGCAATGCCGGCTCATATTTCACTGCCATATCCTCTTCGCTCGAGCTCACATCTGCCAACAGATTCCAACCCCGGAGTCACAACACATACAGTGTGTCGGTTGGTTTACAAATTGTTTTGTGCATTCGCTTCATAGTCATCACTTACAATTTCATTGTATATGTTCTCATATTGTCAATCAAATATTACTAAATACATTAATATCGTTAATCAATCATTTGACTATACTATTATTCATGTTTTACAAAATAAGCCATATTTTACTTGATTTATTTTATGACAATTCATATTATCATCCCAAATCTATCCTATAATTATATTGTAGTTATGATAAAAATAATACATCTTTATATATTCTTTATATTCTAAAAATCTACATTTCATAACTATGTTTTATTGTCTAATCATTGATAAAATAAATCCCAAATCTTATAAAATTGTTTATCTTCTTGTTCTGATTTCAAATGTCAATCTACTCATTTCAGCACATTCCATTATTTTCTTAATAACTTCCTCTTGCGATGGTATTTTCTCATTTTTTCAGTTTTTAGCAAATACAATCCTAGCCGCTGTTAATACATTTACAATCAAATACTTCAATTCCTTACTGTATATTTCAGGTAAAATTCCCAATAAAAATATCTCTGGTTTCAAATTATGTTTTTTTGTCATTTTTTCCAACCATGTGTGGATTTTAGTCCAATATCTTTTAGCATCCGCACACGTCCACCACATATGGTAATATGAGCCAGGTATCTTGAAGACATTTCCAACATTTTTCAGATTTATTCTTGAACATTCTTGCTGTTCTTGTTGGGGGGAAGTGCCACCTGTGCCATCTTATACACATTTTCTTTATATGCTGTTGACATTGTCATTTTATAATTTTGAGACCACAATTTTTGCCATTTCTCTAAATCAATCCCATATCCAAAATTTTTCCCCCAAGCAATCATTGTTTCTTTGACTTGTTCTTCTAGCTTAATTTCTAATAAATATCCATAGTTTTTTAATCACCTTTTCATCAGTACCTGTCAAAATCTTATCTAAATCAGTCAATTTATCATAGAAACCTTCTGTCAGATGGTGCTCCATTCAAAATCCAAGAAATACTTAGACTCCATAGATTAGAGAAGATATCTTTTACTGAAAATGAAGTGGTAGCAACCGTAGAATTCTGAATCTGAGAAATTAGGCGCGCAACTCACATATACAAAGTGATGGAAATGTTCCCACCCCCAATAGTACGAATGAGTCTTTCAATTAAAAGTTGTGAATATGATCATGTGGACATCTTCAGGTGGTGATGAGGCCTCTGTCCGTTGACCTTGGCATATTTTGATAAAGGTTTGCAGCTGCGCAGAGAAAAGAAAGCTAAGCGAGAAATAGAAACCTAAACAGGAATTTATACTCCCCCCTCCTCATTTTTACAACACTAGAATGTAACACCTCCAGCTCGCTTCCCAGATTCTACCCCCTCCTCCCCCCGTTACTTATGGCAGCCAAAAGATGCAGAGCAATAGTAGAAGATCTTGAAGGCTGACACCTTCTGTTTTAGAATCTTTATACCTAGAATGTATTTGCGCATATGAAAACCAATTCATCTTTATACCTTGTTCCTCTAGTTTTTGCATAGATTTAAGTTCACCCTTTTCATTCAAAATTTCACCATATCTAACTGTTTGTTCCTTTTTATATATTATAGGATAAGAAAAAGCTTCAATAGTCGATAGCCAGACTGGAATTTTCAAATAACATTGGCTTTTAGTCTTTTCCCAATTTAACCACAGAGTATATAATGTCTTCTAAAGTACTCCTGTGTTTTAGTCTCTTTGTACCATAGGAAGGCATGCCACCCCAACAACAGATCATGTCCTTCTAATGTCAACAATATAGTATTTCTTAACATTATCCATTCCTTGACCCACATCAAATTTGTAGCTTGGTAGTACAATTCCCAATTAGGCAAACCAAATCCTCCTCTTATTCTAGTATCTGGCAAGAGTTTTAGTTTTATTCTCGCTTTCTTACCTTGCCATATATATTTCAACACAAATTTTATTTAAATCTTCAAAACAATCTTTTCCAAGCCTAATTGGAATTGTTTGGAACAAATATAAAATTCTGGGTAATATATTCATCTTGATTGTTGATATTCTCCCAATTAATGACAATTGTAAGTTTTCCCATTTCGCCAAATCTAGCGCCATCTGCTGCTTGAGTTTAATATAATTATTCGCTTTAAGTGTGCTACATCTTCAGGTAAGACACTTCTGATGTTGTTTGTTGTTCAGGAGAGGCTTGACAAGAGGAATACATTTGAAGCTCATATCCAGGATCCGTCTGTGTGTGGTTGCTCTTGATGCACTGACTCAGTCCTCGGTCCATTCCTTGTGAAAGTCCCCAACACTTTTGAATGTCCTTCAAAATCCTATCCAGGCTGCGGTCATCCCTGCTGCTTGTGCAACTTTTTCTTCCACACTTTTCCCTTCCACATAACTTTCTATTAATGTGCTTTGATATAGCACTTTGGGAACATCCAATTTCTTTTGCAATTACCTTTTGAGGCTTTCCCTCCTTATGGAGGGTGTTAATGATGGTTTTCTGCACAGCTGTCAGGTCAGCAGTCTTTCCCATGATTGTGATTCCTACTGAACCAGACTGAGAGACCATTTAAAGGCTCAGGAGCCCTTTGCAGGTGTTATGGCTTAATTAGCTAATTAGAGTGGGACACTTTGAGCCTAGAATATTGAACCTTTTCACAATATTCTAATTTTCTGAGATTGTGGATTTGGGGTTTTTATGAGCTGTAAGCCATAATCATCATAATTATGACAAATCACGGCTTGAACTATCTTGCTTTGCATGTAATGAGTCTATCTCATATATCAGTTTCACCTTTTAAGTTGCATTACTGAAAAAAGTGGACTTTTGCACGATATTCTAATTTTTCTAGTTTCACCTATAACTTGGTAGTACAGCTGTTACAGGATTTAAATGTAAAAGTACATGAAGCTGTATGAGGATAATGCTGCTTGCATTAAAATGGCAACAGAGTGAAAAATAGAAGCACGTGGACATTAAATATCGTAATGTAAGAGAAGCCATCAAATGTAGATTAGCTTGCTTCACTGTGCATCAGAAGACAATCTGGCTGATCAAGCCATTGGGTGGAATGCACCAGATCTATTCCAGTTATGTAGGGACAAGTGTCAAAATATTCATGGGAAGACATAGTAACAAGGTCAACCAATGAATAGGCATGACAAAGAGATCAGCCAATGGGAGCTGAATTGGAAACTGACACTAAAAGGAGCCTGGGTTTAAAAGGAGCCTCTGAATTAAGCTCTGTGCTCAGCTCTAAAATGAAACTAGTCTGGTCTTGTCTGTCTGCTGAAATGAAATTAAGAATGAATTTACAATCTCTCCCCTCTATCACATTGGAAGAATCTGCTATTGGTATTGTAAATTTACTTCATGTATGATTATGTATATAAAGAAGTTATGAATCCTACTGAATCGGTTATCAGTTATATGTGCTTTCTGGATTTGATTTTCTGCAACAAACTGACACTTTTTTCACTCCAGTTGCCTCCTGAAAGACTTTTGGGACAACCATGACCTGGATGACTAATAATCTCTACAGACATAAAGCCTTGTAGAAAAATGTATGGCTTTGTGGCCATCAAATGCAATGGAATCAAGATTGATAGGACTTATAGTTTATTCCAAATTTCCCAAGTTTAGTGATTAATTAAAGATCTTTTGGGGGCAGATTAAGAAGCGCGTATACTTTGTAAGTGGAGTTTGAATCCAACCCAAGTTATCATTATATTGTCAAATTTTGCACTTGTTTTATAGTCCAAAGCTGCCAAATCTTTTCATCTCATCTTCACAGGAGATAGGGCAGAGGGAGCTGAGAACAAGATACTTGACAGAGTGAACAAGAACAATAGTGTAGGCAGCAGCTCTTCTTCCAGTGGACCAGCACTGAACAATCAGTTGAAGCAACTTTCCCTACAATGCCTGAAAATCAAGGATGGGGTTTGTGCAGACAAATAAATAAATAGTACAAATTGGGTGAAGTAATGTCCGGGAATATAATTTATTTATACACAAATGTTTTCTGATTGTCCGAATCTTGTGCCAACAACTAATATGTGTCAAACTTTTAAGTCTTTATTGCACAATTTGCAGGCTTATATAATTGCATAGGGTTAAAATGTGTATTGAAATATGTAACAGAAATTTTTGGTCAGGACAGAAATTGTAAAGGACAGAAATATCAACCCTTAAGACATTTTGTAACACTTTGGGAGAAGCAATAACAAAGCCAGGTTGGGAGGATTAGCTGGTATCTGGTTTGTAATTTGAGCTACTGTTTAATGCCATAAAATTCCAGGATGCCAGCTGCATAACCTTTGAAATACATTGTATTGTGTTTGGAAGGAACACAATACTTCCACGAGAAGTTGCTGCATGTAACAGAATGTAAGAATTCAGTCTTCCTATAGAATTCATGAGCATTGATACATTATACCTCAAAGGTAATTGAAATGTTAATATCAATGCAAGGATCCCTTTAGGTTTTTACATGGCTGGGGGGAGGTTAGAGATGGTAAGTAGTTTTGTTTTATATGTATTATGATCAAAATGAAATTGTCAGTGGAAACATTAACGTAGGATACCACTTTGTTGTGAAGTACCAATCATGATAATCACTAAGCATTGATGGGAAGATTCTCCCACATCCCATCAAATAAAAAAGAGAAATGTGCATGAATGGAACAGTTGCCATAGCATTGATATGGGAAGCATTTTCTAGTATCTCTGCATTATTAAAAGTATAGCATTTCAGGAGTAGTTAAAAAGAGTTAGAAGTCCTTTAAGTAAAAATATCAGTAAGATGGATAAGAAGCTGAAGCAACAGCTAGTAGAGAATTGGTATTTATGTCAGTAAGAAATAGCATAAAGTTATGTTATATCTTATGTCAGTAAGAAATAGCATAAAGCATAAAGTTGCCTTATTAGTTAACATTTCTAAAAATTGGCATAGGTAATCTTTAATGAACATATGTTTGAGCATTACTGATTAGCAATAACCTTTTCAGTATTTATTTTATTTTAATTTTGTTTTATTTTGTCACTATTATATATATATTCTTAAAACAAATGTAAACATTATTTCACTCTAAATCTCCTCTGCCCTTTTTGTTTTATGTGTAGTATGGTTATTTTTAATCTTTACAACTTCATTCTTCAAATATACAGTATATGTCTTCCATATATGCTTTGGCTGAGGATCTTTGCAAGGAACAATTGGAATGGTAATAATAAAGTGAGAACTACAGCTGTGTGAAAAAGTCCTGCACACTTTATGATTTATGACATTTTTTGGATAGGCCATTGATTTTATATTTTATGCTAACTGCTATGCAAACATTGTTATATTTAAATAAATACTAGTGGTTTTTAAGTGAAAAGCATAAGCTTTTTTCAATTTGGTGCTGTTTGGATGGGGATTGTGAATTTTCTTGCATGCTTACAATGCATGCTTACAATGACTATGAAAACAGATTAACTGATGAGGACCCAGTGGCATACGTGATGCAATTACTAATGCCGATGCTAGTGTTCTGTTAACGTTTTTATTGTTTGTAGCCCTGAAAAGGACCATTTAGGTTACCAATATGAAATTGGCCAGCCCTTATTGCTTATCAACAGGTGGCATCGCTTCGGCATAGGCTTTGCAGGTGATCTTTGGTGACAATGTGATGCCAGGCTGCAATAATGGATTCAATCAGCTCCTGCTTGGTCTTCGGATGCTTCTTGCTTATTTCACAAGTTCTCAATTGGGTTCAAATCTGGGCTCTGAGCTGGCCAATCCAGGAGTCGAACACCATGCTTCTTCATCCACTGCTGGACGGACTTGGCTTGATGACGTTGTCATCCTGGAAGTAAAAGTCCTTCCCTACAAGTTGTTGAGCTGAAGGAAGAATGGTCTTTTCCAGGACTTCAACATACTGCTTGGAATTCATGATTCCCTGCACGATTTGTATCCAACCAATACCAGAAGCAGCGATACAGCCCCAGATCATCATGTGCAATGGATGCTTCACAGATAGTTTCAGGCAGTATGGCTTAAATTCTTCAGCTGGAAATCTTCTGACATACTTATTGCACTGATTCCCAGTCAAGTAGAAATTGCTCTCACTGAATTGCTCTCACTTCACTGAAGATGACCTTGGCCCACTGTTCGCTGGTCTACTTGGCATGCTTCTTGGCCCACACACATCAATGAGAGCGGTGAGCAAAGGTTTACTTCAAGCCTGAAGCCTTTGAGCCCTCTGACAAGCAGTCTGCGACACACTGTGCTTGTGCACACTTTTACATCACATGTTTCACCCCAAATTCTTGTAATCTGAGGTGAGGTTAACTTCCTGTCAGCCATCAAAATGCGTTGCAGAGCCTGATCTTACCATTTTGTCGACTTTCTTGGTCTTCCAGAGTGGAGCCTGTCATCAACAACCAGTTATTTGGTATTTTTCAACCACTCTGCTCACTGTGGTGCAATGGCATTTCACTCTCTTGGCTATTTCTGTACAGGAGTAACCCTTTTCATGAAGCACAATGCAATACCGCTGCTCAGTACTGGTGAAAGCAAAGGCCTTCATCCTTGCCCGCAAGCCAGAGCTAAATTAAATTTCTCGATGCTTTTCATGCCTATTTATAATCAGAGATTATGACAGCATTGATTGGCTCATAGATTTAGCCTCTGTGCATTTTGATTGGCCAGCCAAAACTCGCTGCTGATTGGCTACTTTCGATCCTAACATTCTCGAAAATGCAAGTTGTGTTTGTTTTAGCACATAAACACACTCAAAACCTTAAAAATACTTTGGTTATATTAATAAAAATTATGCATCTCAATCTGACTACAGAAATTTTCATCAAAGTACTAATTTTGCATGGTTTGTCTGAGTGAAAAGTTGATTAAACATGTAAATACAGCTTAAAACTGAAAGCGTGCAGGAGTTTTTCATCCAGCTGTAGAAATGTTAGTAGTGAATCTGTGCCTGTGTATAGGTACTACCTATAATAAAATTCAAAGTTTAGGGATTGCCAGTTTTGTTTCATGGTTGTTATGACATTCAGTAATTTTTCGGTGGTAAATATTGTCCCTTAGACATGACCACAATTATCAACATCCTAGTTAAGGGAGAAATGGCTATTTTCTATGTTTTCTGATCTGCTATAAAGACCATTATGGTTACACTACAGAACTTATTGTACTTTTTTGTACCCTTCCCATTTTATTTGCAGTGCCTTGGCTGATAGAGCCTTTCTAAAAAAATTATGGGAGAAAAATTTTAAAATGGCTCTGCAAATAAAATGGAAAGGGCACAAAAATACAATTAAATTGTGTCGTGTAACCATATTTCTATGGAGCCACTTGAGATAATTTGTTTCAGATAGCTGAAATTGTAGATCTTTTTCCTGTTAGGACAACATGGCTAGTAAGGGACAGGGGAAGAGTTAATTCTAGAACTTAAGCATTTCTCTATCAGGGCACAGATCTGATGTGAATTCCACATAAGTGTCAGGAAGGGCATCTGGCCAGTAAGCACTCAGGTCCACTCCTTCAGCCTGACTCCATCCTTCGTGGTGGAGGGATTAAAAGGTCATTAAAAAAAGGGGGGCCCTGGGCTAGTTTTCTGTAATCTAACCATTCATACAGTAATATATTTCTCTGAGAATTCTAAATATATAACAAGTACTGTTAATGGAGTAGAAGACCCATTATTTCCCAAGGTGCTAGGGAAATCAGCCATAATAGCAAGTGTTTGTGTATAGTTTTAACATAATTAAATTTCTGGTGTGAAACTATGTTGGAGGATTTTATAACAGAGGTCATGAAATAAAAGTTGGAGTTTTAGTCTAAGGATGCAGCTTTTAACCCAAAGAAAATATATCAGTCATGCCCCATACTCTACTCTGACAAACATGTATGATAAATCAAGAATGAAGATCTATAAAGTATGCCACTCTAATAACAGATATATAGATTCTGTATCTAATTATTTCAACCCTTGTATGAAGATAGCAGTGGCCACCAAGCAGTGATATATAAACATCAATTTCACTCCATCCTCAGATAATCAGCTGATACTGTACTCAATAAGGAAGTAGGAAAAATAGCTATTTTTCTACAGGACAACTATCCATTTTAAGCAAACAAAATTGAAGCTGTTTGACATACTACTAAGAAAAAACAAAGCTGACGAGAAAAATGGAATTTTAAAAATCCCCATAATATATATGCCAATTTTATATATATGCAAAATTAAATATCAGGGTAAATGAGCAAATCTTTTTGCTTGCCTCAACTTTGCCACAGCACAAATAACAGAAATGTTTTCCACTTTGCAAACCATAAAGATATTAAGCACTCTAATTTTAAGTGCAATTTTTGACAGTCCACATTCCTTTTCTGTATTCCCATATAAACATTTTCTCAGTAGATTCAGTATGACAGCTATACTTTTGCCATTTTTATTAAAAATGGTTTTGCAGGTAACCTCATTGCAGCTGTGATATTTTAAGAGGGATAGCAGTATTGAAGTCCAAGAAAAATGGTCCTTCTTGTTGTGGGAGGAAAGTGCTTGGAATAATATTGTACGTACCAGGAGGTATATTCTCAATTTCCAGATAGCAAAAGCCACACCTTGGAAAGTGAAATACAGAGAGAAAGCTACTGTAATATAAGATCTCATATAGCGATAAAATATACAGTTTATGAGATGAGCTATTACCTGTAATCACCACTATTTTTCTTTTGAAAACCCAAAGATCCCGGATCTCCTATTGAAGAGACTGTTACAACTTCAAGTCCAACACTGTACTGCCTATAAATGAATCAGAAGTTGGAAGGTTTCTGAGTTTAAAGCAAAATTAGATCTTTTTAAAAGTGGTGTATATTCTGATTTTATCTGGATCCATATTTGATCCACAGTTTGTGCTAAATCATAACAGAGTGTTTAACTTTTCCCAAAGGTGCCATAGTCACTGAAATCTATAATAATTGTTTCTGGCTTAATGTGATGTATGAAGGTAGACTCAGAGTTTGAGGTTGAGCTCAAATTTGAACATGATAAACAACATTTTTTTAAAAATGACTACAGTAGAGCTTCGGATCACGACCGTAATCCGATCCAAAAGCACAACTGTCTGTGCATGCGTAGGCAAAACAAATGGCAGCAAAGGGGAAATTGGTGCAGAAAGGGAATCTTTCTGTGCCAATTTTGTTCGCCACCCGATTTTTGAATCATGACCCATTTCAAAAATTGGGTGGATTTTTTGTTCGTGACCTAACTATATTTAGTTCTTATTGCTGACAATATGGGCTGAAAATTATGGATAGTATAATTTAATTTTAACTGGTGAATCTAAATATTTTAAATTTGAA